CATGGCGTCCGAAAGCGGTTGTGGGAGCGAGAAGCTCGCGCCGGGCCATAGCTCCCTCTCACTCCGATTCGCTTTCGGACGCCATGTAGGCATCCCAGGCTGCTCGGATGCAGGGCTCTGAACTGTAGAGGCGTGCATAGAGCAGCTTTTGTCAGTGATAAGGGGCATCGCTCCACACCCTTTCAGATAATGCACTAGATGCAGGTATGGCCAAAACCTGCATTGCCACTTTTGCCAGAAGAGGAAAACGTTTTGAACCCTAAAAAGAGAGTAACGTCGCAATTAGTGCACTCTTAACAAAATCTCTGGCGTTAAATTTTCTTTAAATACAGAGTGGGGTAATGTTTTTAACTTTACAAAGAAAAGTTACCTGGTCTCTTCACCAAACAATAATATCGTTATCATCTCAGATTTCATTTACTTTCAGGCTCAAGCAGTCAGTGAGCTCATCCACAGTTCCCTCCTCAGGCTTGGGCATCAAGGTCCTCGTCGGAGGTGCGCTATTTTTTTGGAGGTGGAGGTGCTAGTAGGAGGGCGTCAGCGTCTAGGTCCACGTTCTCGCCTGGAGGCTATCTGTTTAAGATCGGTCGAAAGAACGAACGACGGGACAAGTGTAAATGAGCTTATTAAAGCTTTCCAATTTTCTGCTATCTATGAAATGACATATTCTAAAGAAGGAAAAATTATAGGGATTGGATATCTCCCCCTAATATTGGCACTAAATGAGTTGGGAACACAGTCTCCGAATTCACGCGTCTGAACACCGAGAGTATGTCTCTGCACACAAGTGTCAGTATTGGTAGTGGAAAGCAATTCCGTCACTTCCTCCATCATCAAAATGTCATTTAACATAATTTGCAGCGAACGTAAAAGCTCTTGTAACTTTATTCACCCGCATCCCGCCGTTCGATCGTCCGTTCGTTCGTTCGTTCGACCGCTCTTAAAAAGATAGCCTCCAGCTTCTGATAGCAACGCCATCCAACGCCGTATCGCGGCATAGAAAAAATCTACAATACAGAGGAAGACAGAGAAAACTTCGAAATGCACAAGTAGTACAAACCTGCACTGTAAAAAATACTTGTTGAAAAACAAATCACGTATTATGACGGTATTGTAGATTATCAACAGTGTTGTTTGAGAACAACAAAAGTTATTGCAAAACAGCAATGTTTGTTGTAAAACAGCAATGTTTGTTGCTACACAGCAATCTTGTTCCTAATCAGCAATGTTGTTCGTAAACAACTTTTGCAGTTCTTCAACAACTTTCGTTGCTGCTGAACAGCAGTTGCTGTTTCTGGAGAACTTTTGTTGTAAATTGACAATTCTTTTGTTGTTCGCCTAAACAACTATTATTGTCATTTCTGAACAACTTTTGTTGTCCCTGGACAACCTTTGGTGTCCGTGAACAACCTCTATTGTCCCTGAACAACCTTTGTTGTTCCTTAACAACTTTTGTTGTTCTACAACAACACACAGTCAATGAAAAATTGACAGAGCTCTTCCTGTTAATTCTAGGTGTTATTTGTGAGCGACTGAGAGGTGCTACGGGTTGTTGAAGCACATTGCTAGACGGCTAGACGTGTTTTTGCAAGACGCTTCTAGGGCGTTTGGCAACAATACGTAGCACCTCTCAGTCGCTCCCAAATGCCGTCACTGACGGACACCCCTATCTGATTCAATAGAAATAACGACAAAAAATTAAAGATAAGATTCATTTTTTAAGCGCTACAAGGGCCTGTGCTTCCTGCCCACAGAAAGAGAGAGAGTGCAAAAAGTGTCGCTACTCTTCGAAGACTGCTGACAAACATTAATTTTAACGCATGAACATGGACCCGCCAGAGAAATAGTTACCTATTTGACGAGATAGTAGTGAAGTGAGCTTCTAGACAAAGATATCTTTCAGCATTAGCTGAAGAAGCGCTGCAACGCCCTAAAGCTAGAGTCGAAAACTGCGTTCTTCTGCGCGCAGCCGTTCGCCTACACGAGCAGGCGCAAGGACTGCGTCGGCTGTGTCCCGAAAGAGGAGGCTGTCGGTTGCGCTCCTTCCCCATGTTACAGGTTGGCTCAGTGGTCTAAGGCGTCGACATCACCGGCTAGGAATCCGAGGAACCAGAGGACAAGGGAACGAATACGACCGAGCGCGCAAACGGAAATGGGACTAGTACGCAAAGAGTCCTCGCGCCGATTTAATTTTTGTTTCAGGCAAAAGGGGACTAGTACGCTTTTAGTACGCTCGGCTCGGCGCACAGTCACTGTTTGCGCACTAGTCCCCTCCCACTAAGGGACGGGACCAGGGCACACGGAGGGC